CTTCCTAATCCCAGAAATGAGATTGTCCCAGGTGCTCAGATAACTCCGGAGCCTTGCTTCATCATCAGAGTGACCTGTCTGCCGGCACTTGAGACTGGTCAACTCAGCAATCTTGAAGGTCTGGTCGTCCTCGACTCCAGTCTGCAGGTGGTTCAGCAGAAGCTTCAAGATCTGTCTCCCCTTGATACCCTGGGGAGGATTCATATTCTGAGCGGCTTCGGTCAGGCGATTCATCTTGTCTCTAACAGCCCTGGTCTTAATACACTCCCTGATAGCACTCGTGAAGTTTGAGTCCAAAACCGGGTACTTGCAGGGTCCGCCAAGAGCATCATAGTCAAGCCTCTCAGTCTCTGAAATCCACGCTAACGCGTAGTCAGAGTCAAAGCTGAAAGCATTCCTGACCCTCTCCTTGATCTCGGAAAGCCACTCCCGCAGCTTATCAGCTGTTGGCTCAGCAGGCAGCACGATCGTGTTGCACTTATGATGGAACCGATCCTTATCGACAACGGTGGAAATAAGAGCCCCTATCGGGGTACATGAGGTAATCCTGCAACTTTCACACAGCCTAGCAGGCATAGGGCAGCAAACTTCACACGCCCTCATTCCACAACCAACGCAAGGAACAAGAGGGAAACCGGGCTCAGGGATCCTGCTACACTTAGTGCACCTGTCCCGTCCATCATCTCCCCTCAAGGCTTCAGGTAGAAGACCACCATCTCCCTGCCTACCGGCACCATTCACGCTGTAGCCGAGGCTAAGACCTGGCCCAAGATTACCACCGCTTGCAACACTTGAGGGGTAACCTGCAGCATCGTTGGGCTGACTACCGCCAGCGCCAACCCCTTGGTGGCTAACGCCACCTCCGTAGGCAGGACCATAGAAACTGGAACCACACTGATTGTTCCCAATTTCATGAGTATCCGCAGCACTACCATGGAACCCGGGCGCTCCACCAGGGTAACCCCCGGTAGGAACCCCTCCACTCGGGCCTCCAGAAGGCCCAGCGGGACCTTGGCCTCCACCATAATGCCCAGGACCTGGTGGTGGAGCTGGGGCATGTCCATGACCACCACTTCCGCTCCCACCTTGACCAGGTGGTCCGCCTTGCCCACCACCTCCCCCGGGAGGAGGAGGAGGGGGCGGTCCAGCTTGCGCGCGCTCATGCCGAATATTGCAGCGCACACATTGCTCAAGGCCGTCACTTCCAAAGTAACTGTGATTCTCACAGACGTGAGTCCCACAATCCGTGCAGAAATACATGGAGACCTCCTGAGCATTCTTGCGACATGCCCAGCATTTCATTTTCAAGAACTGACAATTGTAACAGTCCCCGTCGTCACCACGGCAAAGCCCGCAGAACTCACGACTGCACGTCACACACGAGAATTCAGCGTTCGGGTGCCTACGGTCGTTGGGATCATCGAGGGCACAAATCTTTGGCGCGTCTGGGCCATCGCCGCCGGGAGCCCCTCTTGCAGCCGGCGCTGAGGCCTGTCCACGATCCGACGGAGCTCCAGCGGTCCCACGCCTATCGCTGCGATTCTGGGTGTCGGCGCTGGCTCTACTCCCAGGAGTCCTCCACTCATCACCAGGACTCTGGATGTCGGCATGAACCCTATTACCCCCACCACCTCCTGAATGACGACCTGGGTTCGGAGAGACGTTCCCGCTATCGCGGATTGGCCTATCAAAACTCGGAGAGACGCTCCCGCTATCGCGGATCGGCCTCTCCCCCCTTGATTGTCGACTCCGGACCTCAGATCCCCTATTGGGGACGGCAGCAGGCCTCGGGCTCCTATTCCTACCCGCATCCCTATTGGGGGAAATAGAAATGTCCCCCCTTGCGCGCGCGCGGGGACCACCCCTTGCACGCCCCGGTGGCGAATGCGACCTGTCAGGCAACCCCCGAACCCTCCTGCTCCTGCTGTCGGACCTCTCCCTAACGGGATTGATGGGATGCCTGTCTGCACGAGAAGGATCGACCCTATCGGGCACATTCGGCAAAACATGATCAGGCAAAACAACACCTCCGCCTGGCCTCACCGGCAGGCCAGTACCCCGGCCGTCACCTTTCTGTGGTGTAGGCGTCGGAGACCTGATCCTATGTCCTTGCCCCGCAAATGCATGGTAACCAACATTCCGTCTCTCTCTGGGTTGTGGAGGAGCTTCATTAATCTGCTGGACACCCTGAATAATGCCAGCAGCCTCGTCAAATTGACCCTCCATCTCAAAGAGCTGGGACATGATTCTGTTGTTCGCGGCGCTAAGGTTACGCACGTTGCCATCGATAGCGCTGACTCTCCGCATAACACCTTCAAGTGTATACTCCGGAATGTGCCGAGCTCTCGCCTAACGGCAGGCTGCACTTGGTCACTGCTTGCAGGAAGATTACGATGCCATCAACGACCCGATTCACAATTGCCGATCTCGCTTCATACTGTTCAACATGTGACTTCACGGTCTCAAACCTCGAAATGACGTCATCATGATCCCGACGTTGACGTTGAATTCCTCGAACCAGATCCTGGATCTTCCGATTGACCTCGTCAATAGCCTCGTGCCAGTCCTGCGGAGAATCATGTTCCGATGGTCTATCGACCTCCTGAGATCCCCGTCCACTCTGCAGCCTCGACACTCGATTAGCAAGACGGGCGTGCTCTTCATTGATCCCTTCAATAGATTCAGAGGCCCGCTTGGCAAATGTCTCGTGTTCACGGAGAGCTTTCTCGATCTTCAGGTTTAACTCCCTGAAATTCGCGTTCACCACACTGCTACTGGCCCTATCGGACAGTTGCGCAACAGGATTCAAATTCAATTCACCTGCTGGTGTCCGAATCCCGACGGTTTTCTCTACCGAGAACATCCGTTTCTCGAGCTTTTCCAAGTCCTTAAGGGTCTCATCTCGGAAGCAGCATGGCTCCTGCGGGTAGCCTCACTATTCTCCTGAATCATCTGGCGAAGCCGATCAGTCGATGCCTCATTGTCCTTGACAGATTCATGAACCTCGTGGGACAGTAGGTTGATCCTCTGCTCCACGACCTCGGCTTGCTCATCGATGGCTTGCCTCACAATGGCCTTGCTCATCCTGCATAGCCAAGCCCATTGGTGAGGGGCTAGCCCTCCTCGCCTTTGACCTATCGGTCTCAATGGCGAGAGGTGACGGCCTCTTCGCAGAAACACTACGTTCCCTGGCGGTCGAGCCCCATTGAGGTGTGAACTCGTTGCTAGACCTCAGAGTTTCAAGGTCACTGGTATCTCGCCCTAACGGGCTAGCGATCGACGGACGATCTTCGATCCCGAGTGCATCGGCAAGCCGACCATCTCTGGCACCTGTCCTAACGACATCGGCAGCCTGCTCAGTGATCCTCGGCGAACCAGTAACCCGGTTCGAGTTCACGTCTCTCTGATTCAACAGACCTCCAAAGGTGATGTTGGGAAAAGGGGGAACATTCGGGGTATCACCAATCGCCGGGGGACCTACCGGTCCCTCGCGGTCATGGATGGCCTCCAATCCCCGAAGAACTTCCCGACTGTCCCTGGCTCTCTCTCTCTCGCTTCGGGCATCCCTGTCAACGCGAAGGTCCCTGGCGGCTCCACGAGAGAGGCTCCTGGGCCTCGCAGCATCACGGATCCTAGCATTTCGTCGTGGTTGATCCTCCTCCTCATCACGGCGATCAAATGCGGCATACTCGTCATCATCATCGACCTCAAACTTGGCAGCGGCAGGCCTAGTTCTTACAGCCCCACGGTCGCCTACACTTCGGCGCGAATGGCTCTCCTCTTCATCCGCAAAATTGTAATCTTCGCCATCATAAGACTCAGATTTGGCAGTGATAGGGTTAGGCCTATCGGCGTCAGATCCCTGTTTTGAGCTACTGCCCCAACCTGCGGTTGATTTCAACAGATCATCGTATCCGAAGTCCGTGAATTTCCGCTCCTCGTGCTCATCAAACTGACCTGGATTTTGAGAACCAGTGGATCGGCCCGGGATACCTCCCGGAACCAGAACCATAGTCCCTGGTCCCTGCGGCCTATTCTCAAACTCATCCGAGACCTGCGACTCACCTGGAACAAGAGATCTCGGAGGTCGAGCCGGCATGGCCTCCGGGTCATCCGAATGAGGGCGGGCCATGTCCATCGCCATGCTGATGAAGTCAAAATGTCCGCGCCTGTGACCTGATTCAGAGCCACTCCTATCGGAGTAAACCCTTCGCTGTTCGTCATCAGTGGCCTGGCGGAAAATACGATCGTCTCCATCGTCGGCGTACCTGCCACGGCTCCTGGGTGTATCCCTACCGGGATCTTCACCCCTGCGGTCCCGACCTGTCGAACCTGCTTCGAAATCCTCGTAGTCATAGTCCGGTAGGTCCTCACCTGAGCGGAGGCCACCTAGAATGGCCTCCTCATCCACGACGCTCCTATGAGATCGTGGGGTCGACATAGAGCTTGTAGTTGATGGTCTCAAGCGCGTAGGAAAGTCCTACGGCTGATAACCTGTGATTCGGGCACGAGCCTGTGCCCAGGCAATGGGTAAGTTGGGGTAAACAAGCCACAAAAGAAAGGTTCCCCAAAAGCAAACCAATCCCCGGTCCCAAAGATCAGGGTTTCCCACACACCAGAGAACAACAACCAAAGGAAAACAAACCAAACAAGAAAAGGGTTAACCCGCAACCTTGGTCGACAACAGGCCGCACGACTGGTCCCTACCAACCTGGCGGCGGCCCGAGGTCTCTTTCTCCCCCGAGATGCCGTCGGTCGACGCAGGGGTTCGGCGACGCCCATTCGAGGCGCGACGGAACCCAAAACTTGAGCCAAAACACCACAGGTCGGTCACTAACGCGACGTCCCTGATGATGATATGAATCATGGCTAATCACAATTTCCCTTGACATCCCTTGGCGCGAACCTAACCAGGGCACCGCAACTCCAACAAGACAACCCCCAACCCCCCGCCCCCCCCCCAGCGCCCCCCCCTAACCAGTCACATTCGTCCGGGGCGCATCGAAGATCAGCAGCGCGAAGTCCAAGGCGCTGATGAAGCCGCCCTCCACCAGTGCGCGGCGGAAGACTTCCGGGGTGCCCACCAGGATGTCGTTGTCCCGAAGGCACTCCGACCACCTGCAATCATGGGGACTGGGGGGGGAGGGAGGGGGGGGTGGGGGCGGAGAAAGCCCCAACAATAAGCCCCAAATAGGCTTAATAAGGGCGTATTTGGGCTCCCTCCACCCCCCAGCCCCCATGATGCAAAAATATCCGGGGAGTCCGAAAATGGAGCCGGGGGGAAGGGGGAATCCGGGCCCTGTTGTTGTGTTGTTTTGGCCGACCCAAGAAAAAACCGGGGGATTTGTTTCTTTCCTGGGGGAATCCGGTCCGGGCAAGGCCCGTTTTTCTTTGGTCTTGCTCGGACCCAAACACCTATGGTGTTTGTGACCTCCAGTTGAGTTGGTTGAGGAAGCCTCGGTTTTGTTTAAACACACACACAGGATCCTTTCGTGGACATCATTTACATGGGGATTCATGTCCACCAACCCACTCTTGAGGTTCCCTGTTGATTCACAGCCAAGTGATGCATTCAAATCGAATCCGCTCCGGTTCAAATCCCCCGAACCATGAATCCAACACACCAATTAAGGGTAGCCTCATGTAAGGGCGGCTGCTCTCAAAAGAAAGGAGGTGGGTTTCCAGTTGGTGTCGCTTTGACTCACTTCCTGAGTTGATCGGCCGGAACAAGTCTTCAAGTCTTCAACTTTGCAGCCGCAATGGTCCGAACCCCAGAAGCTTTTGAAGTCCATGGACTTGAGTAAGTCAAAAACCAACCTGAAAGAGGTTATTCTTAGTGACAAGTTCTCACCGGGTTGTGCTCAGATCCCCTGCCAAAAGTTTAACTTCTATAGTGGGTTAAACGGACCCCCCCCCAACTAAACCAACTAACAAGTCCTAAAAAGCTAAGGAACCGGATGGCTGGGAGCCACCAAGAGAAAACCGCGTCACCCACAAGCCCCCACTAAACTAAAAAGCAACAAAGAGCTAAGGTTGTGGCCGACAGACAACCGCACAGCCACAACCCCCGCTAAGCCAACTAAGAAATCCTAAAAAGCTAAGGAACCGGATGGCTGGGAGCCGCTAAACTCTAAAAAGCACCCACATTGGAGCCGCTCGCCCGCCTCTCTTGACCCCAAGAGTCCATCTCGCCCCCCGCCAGCTCTGCCACGCGATGCCGCGCTCGGCCTCAGCTCCCACGCCCGATGGGGGCGTCCAGTTGCGGGGGGAAACAAATACGGAGCGAATCGCCGGTTTTTCGGTTGCCCCCAATTTTTCGGTCGGAGGTAAACAGGGGGGAAACCACATGTGAAGCCCTTTTTTTTGGTTGCTCCTACTTCTCTGGTGTCGTTATAGTAGGTAAGCAGGGGAAACCAGATGCCAAAGGAAAAGCCTAAAGGCCAGAAATTCCGGACACCCCCCATCCCTTCGGGGGACCCCAAGCACACCACACCAATCCCACAAACACCCAAATAGAGCAAAACTGGAAAAGTATTTGGGGTGTGGAATAGTTTGGGTTGGATAAGGGCCATAGGGTTGGTTTAGGGGAGAAATTGTCAATGATGACTCCCGAAACCTCACAAACCAAACCCTGCTTTGTCGTTGTTTCTTGGGGGTCTCTGCTTTTGGGATTGGTTGGTTGGTTGGTTGGTTGGTGGATGTCCCTGGACCCCGAGACCCCAACGAAAAAAAGTCTAGCGCTTCAGGAGTTGGGACTCAGGCCCCTCTACACCGGACGCTTGTCCCCGTCTGGAGATCTCGGAAGGGGATCGGGACAAGATCGCGGTTTGATCCCGATCTAATGCCCAGGATAGGACGCGTTTTGATTGAGTGAGGCCCCTGGGATTTACAAACAATTTAGGTGGGCCCAGTTACATTACTTCAGCTGCTTCTAATATTGGCTACGAGGCGATTTGTGAGAATGTGTGTGTGTCTGTGTGTCTGTGTGTCTGTGTGTCTGTGTGTGCGCGTGCTGCTTGTGCTTGTAGTTTGAGTGTAATTTGCGTGTGGTTATCTTATGTTTGTGATTTCTCTGTTTTACCCCTTGTTGGGGGTCGGTTTAAAGGACAGCGAAGCCACTCTTTGAGTCCAACGCCCCCCAGCCGCCGAGTTCTGTTTCTGCGAACGCGCGGCACTTCTCACGGCAGTACTTGGCCTGCTGCTCCACCAGAACGCGCGTGGGCACGATGAACCTTCCGGAAACCGGAAAAAAAAGAAAACTCCACCGAAACGGCTGGGGGAACTTGGTTTGCACAGTTGAGCATGTCTTGGGTGCCCTCAAAAACACACTACACACTCAGGAGAGTCGTAAACCCCCCCTACCAGGAAGCTCTGCCCCTTGGGGCATTAAACTGCAACAGTACCCTGTCCTGCTTTAAAGGGAAACCAAAAGCGCAGGTTCTTTAAACAGTACTGTTGACCCTGGATTAATCAACCCCAGTTTATCAATATGGGGGTGTTCCCCTCCAAAAGTGGTCTGATTCCATTTCTGGGACACCCCCATATGAATAAACTGGTTGCTTGATTTCTCGGGGTCAACAGAAGAGAAGGGAATTACAAATGAAAAAGCAACAGCACCCCGGCCTGCTGTAAAGGAAAACCCACAAAAACAGTACCTAGATTCACCCCGCAGGCCTTGCCCCACCCACCCTCAGGCTATGTTCCCCGCCCATTTTTTCTCCTCGCCGGGCCGCATGGCGCGGGCTGTGTTCCTGAGAAACTCGTCCAGCGCCAGCACGGCGATGAGCGTCTTGCCGCCGCCGGTGGGGAGGCTCACCTGAGTCAGAATCAAGACCCGGGATTAAAATGGTCTGCCCAGAACCATGCTTCAAGAATTAAGAAGGCCGCCGCAGCTATTTGTGGCCGGGATTGTCCCTTACTAACCTTCATCTACCCAGGTTTAAATTGCGGCTCACCTCGTGGCAACCGAATGAAATCGAGCCAAAAAACCGGTGGGTCACGTCGAGAGGCGGAACCGGGGAAATCGAACAAAATCCGGTGCATCCGAATGAATCAAACATGAAGAGGCCGTGTCGCTTTGGTCGTACCCGCAAGGAAGTGGAACATATTCATCCGGTTCCAGTTAGCGCTGTTGTTGTTTTTTTTGCGAGACTTGTGACCTTGCATGGGTATCAGGTGTTAGATGATGGTTTCCCCTGGTTGCTACTTTCATGGCTTGTCTGGAAGGTTCTGGGTTAGTGGAGGCATCGAACGACAAAATTGCAAGTGCCTTACATGGTGGTTGCCCTTCTTGTGGGGATGGCGATTTCCCCTTCAGGGTACCACATGCCTCTCCAACCCAATTTGGGTGTGTTGTCTGGAGTTGGTACCGTTCAATCTTGGTGTAAATGGAACTAAACAGGGAAAACCACCCATTCCAAGGGTCCCACTTGTTTGACACATACCCATTTCCCACCATGGTCCAAAGTCTTCCCTGGGAACCCAGGTCCCTCTGGTGAGTGAGCAAGGTTGCAAGGGCAAAGCCTGCCTTTCAATTTTTTATAACCCACGTCAACAGAAAATATGTCTCAAAATAGTTGACCCCTCCAGCTGGCTTCCTTTTCAGGTGTCCCTTTAAACTGTTGGTTCCCTTTGAAGCAACCCAAGAAAGGGGCACCAACTGAAGAAAAAAAAAGGACCAGCCAGCCTCATCAGCCATTGGGGCATCGAAGGGTTCCAGCCTAAGGCTATCCCAGGTGTTGCTCAGATCCCCGGAACCGGCAGACAAACGGCTCTGGAATGGAACGCCAAAGGACACCCAAGCGATTTTTGGCTTCAAACCTCCAGGTCTGGAATTCCATCTAGACACACTTTTGGCCATGGATTGATCGTGTATCCCACAACCTTTGGGTTTCAAAGGGAATTGAGCAGGAACCCCCTTTTTGGGGCTTCCTGTTCTAAGACAAAGCCTTCAACCGCTTCACATCTAATTTGCCTTGTACGCGCCGTGAAAGACACTTCGGGACAACTTGGACACCCTCCAATTGCTTCTTCGCCCCCTGAAAAAAAACCACATACCTCCCAATATGGTGAAATCGACTCCCTTTAATCAAGAAACAAAACTGGTGAACATAAAACATGTGCGCCCTGGGAACAAAAAAGGGAGAACATTCGTCCAATAGCTCCAAAACCAGGGGAACAAAATATATGTTTTTCAGTTCCACCGAACCCTGGCTTTTCCCTTGTTTTTTCTCTCCCCCGAGCCGCGATGGTGTTCCCCTTCCGGAGCTCCTGAACACATTCCAGCTGATAGGCCCTCGGCTGCAAGGCCATGGCTCGAGGACATGGCACCTTGCAGTTCCGAAAAGGCTGCGCTTTTCGCGTGAAGCGCGAGCTGGGCCGTCCTATTTTGGTTTCTTCTTCGGGTCCCCGGCGACGAAGTGAATCAGCTTGAGTTTTTTTTTTCCCCCCGGGTCCCCGGCGAAGAGTGAATATGGTTTAGCGGGTGACATGGAAACCCGCCGTTTTCATATCCCCGGCGAAAAGTGAAGAAGCTTGAGGTGGGTGGAATGAAGACCCAGCCACTAAACCGACTGAAAAGTCTCAGCACCAAGAAGCCCTCCCAGTTGCGTCACGGCGGTCGTCGTCTGTGTACAGAAAACCTTCGATTGCAACGTACAGCTGAGTTGACGATTGGTAGGTTCTCACAATCTCCGGACCCTCGTAACCCAAGCTCCACCCCAATGAATGCCTCGAAATGGTTCCTTTCAAGACCCAAAAACTCTTGGGGAAGGGGAGCTCCGAGATGTCTATCAAGCCCCAGTTTCCTCGGGTTCCGAGCTTCCGCCAGCCTCGCATTCCTCATGCCAAGCATTTGCCCCCATGCGGCCTCAGGCGGGGTTTTGTGGAAACAACTGCCCTGTCTCTTCCCCCTGGACATGACCCCAACTAAGGTGAGCCAAGGTCAAAACGACACTTTCCTCAAGGATATGGGGAAATGAGTGCGTCTCCTGGTTTTTGTAGAGCTGCTCCCCATGTTCATGTCCTCCAAATGGACCAGACACCATATTCTGACCAAACCTCACGTAAGATGGCAACCGAAATGGTGATGGTACTATTTGAGGTGATGTTTTCTCGGGCGGGATGTTATGGCAAAACAACCTGGCGCCATATTATAACGTGTAACTCCATTCGGTGAGGTCGTGGACAAGTCAATCAGGAACCAGTATGACCCCAACGGGTGGAAATTCAAAACCTAAGTTCGGAAGCTGCGTTCTTGAACAAGTGAGTCGCAACACCAATGTGAGATAACACAGCTGCAGTGTTTGAACAAAGCAGCAAACACACCAACAACAAGTAGAGACGCTGAGTGTTGAACCCAACAGGCGAATCTTTTGGCATTAAACCTTGCTCGCAACCAAAGGCAATTGCGTGAGTCGCTCTATGGTGGTCGCATCCTCACACTTTTCCTCTCGCATCCTTGCATGGCGACCCGACATCGGACAGGTCGCCCTTCCGAATTGACCCGGGTGTTTCAAACAGCCCAGGGCAGGGTGGGACGAAATTTTGCAACTCAACATGCAGCCACGGAGCCCTCTTTTGTGCAAAACCAAGTCTATACCTCGCTATTCATGGCAAGGAGGCTATCCTCTAGGACCCTCGAATGACCCAGATTTTGATCGTGGCTATTGTGGTTTAAGGGGGCACCACCCTAAACATGTATCCACCCTTCACCAATTGATCCAACTTCGGGACACGCCAAACAAGATATGATGTTCAATAAACCTTACACCAAAAGGTATGAGATTGTCTTTTCCAGGATGCCAAAGGGAGTTGTTTACGTTTTTCGGGTGTCTATTTTGCGACAAAGCCAGGTATAGCAATCGCTGTATGCAACTTAGTCGACATGGCTGTAAGTTGCCTTTTTTGCCATTGATCACTTCCGATCGAGTGGATTGGAACCAACAACAGTCCCGTCACACTTTTTGGGAATGCCACTACAATGGAAACCAAGCCCAAAAAGCGAAATAAAGAAAGTCCAGCCAGTTGAACTGGAGAAGTGAGAAATTGCCATATATCTATAAAATGTTAACCCCGATTAATAAACCCCTGGTTGATTAATAGGGGGTGTCCCCTTAAAAGTGGGGGGTCATCACTTTTGGAGTGAACACCCCCTAATAATGGGACGGGTATATTGATCCTGGGTCAACATTGGCATGACGGGGATCCGGGGTTCGTCGCGTGGCGTTCGTTTATCGCCGGTCAGAAAGGCTGCATCGACTGCGACCGCGCCATCCCCGTGCGCAATGCGGCGGCCTAGGCAAAGGCATTGCGAAGGCTGGTGGCGCGTCTCCTTTGGGCGGTACTTTTCGGTTTTGAGCGAAGGAAAGTCCCGGTGTTAAGGCACACCCATATTGGTTCGTTCGTTTTAGCTCTCAACATCATAATTGAAGGGAGGGGTATGGATTGGGAGAAGGGGCGAGAGAGATTGGCGAGTCTGGGGCCCAAGCGATGCATCTGCACGAAAGAAGACAACCAATGGAACCACCTTCGAACAATGAACATGACGACTGAATTGAACATGACAGCTAAATGGAAAATGACGGATCAGCTGCCCTCGGGGTCGCCGGCATTTTCTGGTTCAGGCAATCTACTACTTGAGCGGTTGGTTAACCTGGACAGGGTTACTATCCACTCAAGTTCAGTAGCGGATCACCAGCTTCATTCGGTCCAAGTTGGTATCCGGGTCATACCGAAAAAAAGCATGGTTTGGCAATTCGCTCACTAGATGGAATGTGGGGGGAATGCTGCAGCATGATACTCCAATTAAATGGCCTGGTATCCCATATGTGCTGTTTGAGCGATTCTCGGACAGAGTTGTCTCAGTTGTCTCCCAAATAGGAGTAAACTAGACATCTGGTGCTCCTCATAATGATCTAGAGTACTGAGACGTATTTGGCCATGGGTCAAAATCCCGTAACCCCAGTGAACATCCGAATCTCCACCAAAATAGACTAACATGGGTGGTGCACCTACCCCAAAATGGTAACCCTTCGTTTGGACAGCCATTTAGCTATCAACACTAACTCCCAGCCATCAGCTCTTGGGCTGGCAAGCTGAGCTGGGCACTGGAACCCTACCCTTGAAGGTTGCTGGGTAGCAAACCTGGGTGAGTTTTGGGAATCCGCAAGGGGTAGTGCATGGGCTGGGCTGGGGGGATGGGCCTTAAACAGCCCGCAAAAACCCTACAAAACTGTAAGGAACCCTAGGGCTTTCACTTAAACAGCCTGCAGGAACCCTACAAAACCCTAAGGAACCCTGGGGCTTTCACCTAAACAGCCCGCAGGAACCCTACAAAACCCTAAGGAACCCTAGGGCTTTCAACTACCCCCCGGCAATTCCCTCACCTTTCTGTGTGTCTTGCCACGTCTGGTGCTCTTAGGACCCCACTTTCGGTGACCAAAAAACTGGGATTTCGATAGGGGTTGATCAAAAGGTCCGATAAACGTGGGAGGACCACTACAGGAAACCACGAGGCAGAAAAAACGATATTCCCATATGGGATAAGTTACGCATGGTCAAAACTGGGGATCGAAGGGAATATTGATCAACCCCGATTTCACGAGTTGTTGCCTCTCAGCAAAATTACCCAAGGGTATCAAAGATGACGCTGAAAACCCAGTTCCCTTACTGGCTTGCAATCAAATATCCCTCAAACATCTCAAAGCTTGATAGAATCGTCTCAGGGCCAAGCGAAGAGCCTTTCTGGGTACTGGCCTCATTAATAAGTTACCATTTAATGTGTTGGTTTCGGCAACCAACGAACAAAATGTTTGACATGTGGCTTCGAAACGAAGAAACACCCTGACTTGTTGGTTTGCAAACAAACACCGCTTTCAAACAACGGGGGCCAACTGCTTCAGGAATCAAATCTGTGGTTTTATAAGTAACAATTAAAACCTGGCCTTTTATACTGACGCGACTCTGATAGGTGAAATGTAGTCGAAATCAACTTCACATTTAGCACATGGGTGTGTCAAATAGGCTGGGTTGTTTCCTTGGCAAATCCCTAAATAAGCCCCCCCCCAAAGGCAAAACAACATGGCGGTCCCCGAAAAACACAGCCCGCATGAACCCCCAAAGCAATCTTCATGCGGCTGGAAAGGCGGGTGTCTTTGGAGGGCTCCAACCGAGTCATGGTTGGAAAGTTGAGTGAAACGGAGCAGCCGAAGGATTTTTGCGGGGCTCCGAATCCTGACTTTCGGACACTTGGCTGTGGCTCAAAAAGCCGGTACTAAAATGGAACCCTAGTAAGTGGAAACCTGGACCAAGACCTGCGTAACCCCTCCTGGTTAATTTTGAGCCACACACACACACTTTAAGACAACCCCAACCTGCGGCAAAGAGTGAAACTAGAGAAGCAACCAGAGAAGGCTCTTAGAACTTTCGTAGAAGGCGCTCTGATCGTGCCAGGGGATTAGTGTCCCAAGTTAGTGATTGGTATCTTTTGGGTGTTTACCGACTCTCAACAAGCTAAACTCCACTTGGGAGACTGTTTTTTCTTGGATCAGACTGAGACCCTGCAAAAGTTGCATGTGTCTTGCTTGAAAGGCCAAATTTCCGGAAACCCAAGCAGGCGACAAGTCAAAAGCTACCCCAAGTCGTTGATGGTACGGCTCCGTTTGACTTTCGCGCCTTCTCCGCACCAGACGGGCTCGCCGGCTTGCTCTCATCCTCCTGGCGAGTCTGATCAGCCCTCACTGTACCTGGTCCCACTTTGGTCTTTTCAATCGGGGTGAGAAGTGCTTGGACGGTGTGGAGCCGACACTCTCGGAGACGGTGTGAAAACTCCTGTGGCCAATGGTCCTGGTTTTCCCATAAACATCCTTACTTGCAACTGCTCAAGTTTCTCAAGGGTTCGTGACAATCCTCGGCAAACGGTGTTGACTCGTTGACTGACCACACAGCTTCACCAAACCATTTTGGAACATTCAAGTGCAGTGCCAAGCCACGTGGAACATCCAAATGCCCCAGTGGCTGGCAATGCCCATCTCAGAGTGTTCAACTCGTCCCAGGATGGCTCGCATGGGAAACCACAAGAAGACCCCATCCCACCCAGCCGGGGAAGGTCGAGCTCCTGTACCCAGAAAGGCGAACAGAAAACCAAGCATGCCAAACGGTTCTTGCTTCTAAACTCATTCAAACAGGTCTTCGCTACTCTTCATCAATTCCCATACCTGAAGGGAACATTTGTCTAGTCTTCCCCGCAGCGTAGAGTTCCAGCAGTCACAATTCCACCTTCCCCCCTTCAACGATGAAAGGGACGGCAGTTTCACGCCCCGCGCCCCTTTTGATGCATGCCCAGTGGGGGGTGTCCTAAAAATGTGAGATCCCCTTTCTCTGTGGCTGAAAGAAGTGGTACCAAAATGGCACCTTAATGGAACCAAAGACTAAAACCCTCGTGACCCCAGCTCTTTAATTCTGAGCCATACCCTCTCCGGTCACTCAGCAATCACCTTTTTGGGCGCTGGAGACTCGAGCGGCAGAATTCGGGCGCTGGTAGACGGAAACCAAGGAAAACAAAAGGGGCCATATTGCGTGTGCCATTTTGGGGTGACCTTGAAAAGGTTGGTTTCAAGAAAAAACATATAGAGAACCACCCTCTTTTGAAGGTCTGGAAACATACTCCCAAGTCCAAATGCTCCGCCCTGGTTCGTCTTTCAGACCAAGCCTGGAATCCCCAGGGCCGAGAAGCCAATTTTCAGTCTCGTTTAGGTCTGCCGAAATAGGGAGCCCCGTTTGGATGGTTTCAATGAAGCCGAATCGGGAGCGCTCCTCCATCATGCGATAGCTGGAGCCGTAAGCCTCGGTCTCCTCCTGGACCCTCCGCAGATTTTCCTGAACGACATGGCGTGGTGTCATTTGACCCGCGCTGTGTTTGTTTGTTGTTGTTGTTCTTTTTTGTTTTAGTTTTTGTGTTTTTGTTCTTTTCTTTTCTTATTATGTGTGGGGCGTATGCACTGGAAGCACATACCTACGCAGAGGCACTGCGGTTTTCTTTCCCCCCAAGAACCTTGAGTATATCCATTGCGAACCGGCCACGTGGGGGCCTTCCGCTGTGCGGAAGCGTTTGCAAAGCAGCAGCAGCAGCAGCAGCAGTTGTAGGCAAGTCATAGTAGTTGGAGCAGTAGTAGAGTAGCAGCAGCAGTGGTAGCAGCAGTAATACTGGAATGGCCGTGAAGGCGGGCATGGGGCAAGTTAAGTTGAACTCGAACAGGCCTTGCAGGCTACGCGGGGGCTAACTCTAACCTTTGGTTTACCACTGTCACCCAAAGTCACTAAAACTCTTTGAGTCTTTGAGGCTGTACAGTGGGTGGTTGCCAAATCACTTCGCACCACGAAATGAATCCATAGGAAACCATGGTTTTCTGGCATTTGGCTTGGGCAATCGAATTCTAGAAACCGAACGGGTTTCTGATCGTCGCCCAAACGCGGATTTCGCACCCTCCCACAGTATTTAACGATAAAAGTTCGAGAGTCCCGTGGCTTTCGTACCAGCGTTACACCTCAAATATCTCCAAATGGTGACTTCCTTCTGGTTTGGCCTCAAAAAGAAAGATGTCATACATGGCCCAAGCCATATCTTTTAAGGAACCCTGTTTATAAGTCAGCTGTTGACCCTACATTCGTTCTAAACTTCCATTTGCTCAAGCCCCCCGGGAGAAAAAAGAAAGAAAGACCGTGATAAATCCCCTCTACAACACCAACAAGGACGAATACAAAAGCATATCCTTGAGCAAACGGAAATAAACGGGTTCCTTTTACATGCTACTTGATTCTACTGATTCATCGGCACCGGTTCCCATCGATCCGTCTCTCGACGTTGGCCGTCGCAAACGCGACGCCTTCTTCGTGGAGGCGTCTGGGGTTTGGATCACCTCGTCCTAGCGAACATCCGGAGAGAGCCCAGGCGTCTGGGCGGTGGTACGTCCCAAAGGGAAACGTGGCATGAACCGGTTCAAAGTCAGCTTCCAGATTGGATTATCATTTCTTGAAGAAACCCTTCGGGAACACTGCTTCCAGTTGTGCAACCGATGTTGCCGCTATGCTTTGCATGACTGCTTCCTCCCGTTACATACTGCAGTGCTGGGAGGGGTACGTGGGCGGGCGATTTCTGAACAGAAGGATGGTACAATTGGGTCAAATACGAGTTTCCTATGATTGCCATGCGACATTTCTAGAGCTCGAAACAAAGCAGGCCAAGATTCATTGGGCCTGTTTTGTGCCAATGTCTTCTGTGTGATGTTTGAAGCGGGACATTAGGAAATGAGACAAGGAAGCGTTGCCCTTGTCCAATCTCGACTATGCGTCAAAACAAGCTACCACACTTGGAGCGCCGAAACAAAGGCGTCGCAGATTGACATTCAACAAAAAAAACACCCCGAGGATATTTCTCAAATCTGTTGGTTTTTGTGACGCTCCGGCCAACCACATCTGGCCAGTAGACCCAACTTTCCATGATGCAGTCATTGTCCTCAAGCGGAAGAGCAGAAAAGAAACAATAAGCAAGCAGGCAGGCAAGCAGGCAGGCAAGCAAGCAACCGAACCAACAACAAAGCAAGCAAGAAAGAAGGCGAGCGAGCGAGCAAGCAAGCACGCACGCGGCCGAATAAACAAACAAAAAAAGCAGGCAAGCAGGCAAACAAGCAAGCAATCAAGCAAGCAAGCAACCGAATCAACAAACAAGCATGCAAGAAAGCAGGCACGCAGGCAAGCAGGCAAGCAAGCAAGCAAGCAAGCAAGCAAGCAAGCAAGCAAGCAAGCAAGCAAGCAAGCAAGCAAGCAAGCAAGCCAGCAAGCAAGCAAGCAAGCAAGCAATAAAGCAAGCAATCGAACAAACACAAAAACAAAGGGCGAGCAAACAAACAGAACAAACAAACAAACAAAGAAAACACAACCGACACAAACAAACTAATAATTGCTTTCAGAGTGCTTTTGTCCTTGCCTTCTTGGACGACGGGTCGGGTGTCTGGATGACCACGTCTCCGTCCTAGGCCAAAAGCATCTCTCGAAACTTCCCATGTACCATCCTGTGTCTCTGGGAAAAAGTTGAATGTATGTTGCCGAGCTTTTGGGAACATCCCATAAGGTAGGGACCAGCAGTCAGTCATGTCGTTCGCGGGTTTCTGGTACAAACGGGAAGCAACCCAGCTTGGACATTGAACCAGCTTAGCAGCTTGGAACCTTAAACCCGTGGCCATGTTGCACGTGGCTGGTTCCCATTGAAGCGATCAATCTGCTGTTCGTGCATGGGGTCAAGTCTACCTTTCTTTTCTGCGCTCACCTCAAGGTGAAAGAAGCTGCGGTTCCTTTTCTTTGGGACCCTCTATTATTTCGGGTTTTGGAAACTGTTGCGTCTCAAAGAGGTTCTTGAACCGTAGACGGCTTGCGTCAGCGCCGAAGCGGTCAATGTGCTTGTGATATCAAGCGGTTGGTTCCCATCCATCCCCGAGCTCTTACTTTGGGATCATCTTATCACATGTCAAATAAAAACTGAGCTCCGGGACCTAAACGAACAATCCTCTACCCTGACAGACCAAGCTCTGTTGGCTGGGGAAAAACAGCCAGTGAAAACTGTCACAGAAATCCCATGTCCACGTGGTGCTTGTGCATTCGGCGGGTTCGGTGCGTTTTCCGGTTGCTGAAGCTCTTGCACAACATTCATAAATGAACAAATCCGTCAAAGTGATGATTGCAAAACATGGGGAGGTCAAAATCAGATGATTCCCTTATAGCGCCATCCAAACAGATGTCCGGTCCGCTTTCACGCATCACTTGAGACACGTCTGCCTCGTCGGTTTGTTGCCGCGCGTGATCAAAACAAAGTACGTGTGCTGACACTTGGAAAGAAATCAAAAAAATCAAAGTATTGAATCGCATTATTTCCAAGAACTCTCACACTAGGTATCTGCCCCAACTAGTACAATTAACCAACCAGAATTCAGAAATCCCTTCTCAAACCTTCCTCATGTAGCAAGCCCCAAACGGGTTGTTTGAAGGCTGGCAGCCGACAATTTCCCACGGAGGCTTCCTGCATGTTTCAGGCAGCACGCCCAAGCAAAATCGCTTCCCTAGAGCAGCAAAGTCATGTGTTCCTCTCCGTTAGTTTGTAGGGGACTGACGCCTGTCCAAGAACGTCAACAAAAAGGCTCATGTCCTCACTTCTAAAACCTCCTGGGATGAACTCCATCTAGGCAGTCCATCGCCAAGATGTTGATCTTGGGAAGCAAGCCTTTCTCGCCGTAGCCAGGCACGGACAGCAACAGGCCAAATCCATCCCGCAACGCGGGAATAACGGGCACAACTTCAAGATCAAGAAGGAAGGCACACATTTTTCAGGAACCCTCCCTTAAAATTGGCAGCAGAAAACGCTCCTGGAAGTTGGGTTGGGTGAAAGGCCGGTTTATGAATGAGCCCCTGCCTGCTATGTCACGCTTGCACTTCTTGCGTCGCTTAGATATCACCTGAGCGCATTTATTGCCGCTTGTGGCCAAGTCCCCAGCCTCAGAGAAGGTGGAATCCTTGCAGCGAACGGGAGGCCGGCAGAATTTGTCGGGGTGGGTGGTGGGTGGGTGGGTGGGTGGGTGGGTGGGTGGGTGGGTGGGTGGGTGGGTGGGTGGGTGGGTGGGTGGGTGGGTGGGTGGGTGTGGGTGGGGGTGGGTGGGTGTGGGTGGGGTGTGGTGTGAGTGGGTGGGTGGGTGGGGTGGCCAAGCCATTTGTGTGTCATAAGAGACGCGCGCACAAGGGCCCACACACACAAGAAGGAAAAAAATAGCGTGAAAAAGAGCGGGCAAATTTCAAGATCCGGAAGGTGCAGGGTGTGTGGCTTTGAGAGTTCTTTTTAACAAGGCTGCTGGGTAAGGAGGTTACAAGAAGGCCCCTGACCTCCACGTCATCCTCCACTATATCCTTGCTAAGGGGGCACATGGTGCATACGCCCCCCTGGGCAAAAATGTGGTTTTCCATATCCTTGTCCTGCTATCTAATACAAGATATCGCTGTTAGTGTGGTGCTGGTTCTGTTGGTGCGCTACCACCACAGCAGCAGCATGCTCAAGCTGTGCTGGAGCCAAAAAGGAGCGGACTGTCCAGCTCCTCCAGGCGCTCCTGCTCAGGCAGTGTCTGACCCCCAACTGGTCACAGCCAGCAAGAGTCTGGCCTCAGTCAGAAGCAAGAGCAGAACCCTGGTCTAAGGCCTTCACCCATGACCAAGCCAAGACTCTTGGCTGACGTGGGGTGCCTCAGCAGAGTAAGAGCAAGCACAAGCACTTGAGGCACACTCCAGGCTCTGCCTTGGCCAGGGCCGTCCTCCTGGGCCCTCATGAGTGTGGGCCCTCATTTGCGATAGTTTCCCCTTTCATTTATCCTTAAAAACCCCGCGAAGGGGTACTGCATTGCAAGCGCTTCAGGGGAACCGAAGTCCACAGGGACAGAAACCCAGGAATGGTGCAGGCATGGAGCCGCATCAAGCACTACCTTTCACCACGGGGATGGGGGAGCCGGTAAAGCTGTGGAGCGTGGACAGCACCATCTGCCTGAGCGCCGTGCCCAGCCTGCTGAACTCTGAGACGCGGCTCAAAAAAGATGGGTACGGGAAATCGGTGGTTTGGTCGTGTGTCGCCACCGCCCTCAATGCCGTCATGCGCCTCCCCATGTAGATGTTGTAATTTTGCTCTGTGTTCGAGTTTTTCGCTCAACAACGGGCCTTCTCCTGAGCTTATTGCGAAAAGTGTGCCAGAAACATTGAAAGATGAATCGGCAAGCCCTGATCAACTGCCGTATGACTTCACAACTGGCTGCGTAAGTCAGATCTCAAAGGGGCTGGCCAACCAAGATACAACATTGAAAGTCCTGGCACTGCTTCGCCTCAATGCACTTTTGACAGGCTCAAAGTCACCTAAGCAGCAACCTTGAGTTCAGCCAGGGCCAGCCTTTGCTGCCGGGCAGCCTTTGCTGCCGGACTGGCGGTTTTCAGCAGGGCGGATTTTTTGGCAGCCTTTGTAAGCTACCAGCTTGCAAGGACTGCTGCCCAGGCGGTGGGCCTGGCCAGCGCAGAACAGTGAAATTGAGGCTGTGCAACCGAGCAACTTCGGAGCAATAAAGAAAAAATGCTGGACTGTTTTTTTCTGCTTGACAAGGTTGCTCGGTTGCTCTCTGAAATTTTCGCAGTGTACAGAAATTCGCCTGAGACCAGTCCGCGCAAAGCTGGGCCAAGGTCCCCAAAAATCCGGAGCAATGAAAACTAACCCTGCACCAAGGCTTTTTCTGAAACCCGAGGCAGTTAAAAAACTAGCCCCTCGGGGGCTGTGTCTGTTAATCACACTTTCACCAACAATCCCAGGGCCTTCACCAACAGGATTATCGCAGGAATAGACCAGAGAAGAGTAGGGGGCGCCAAGAGCTGCAGCAGCACAAATCCCTCACAAACCACAATTTCACAAGTGTGCAGAGAGGTAGACAAGTGCTGCAGGCATTATGAGAAGCACACACACAAACGCGCATAAAAAAGGCAACATACTTCAACAAAGATACCAAAGATGAGATTCCACAACGGGAGTGTTTTAGACAGGGTACACGCTCCGAAACAAGACAAGTCGACAGGTTCGAGATGTAGGAGACATGCGCTAGTGCCGCCGGCTATCCAAAATCTGTTGGATGAAGCCGACATTCATCTGATTACCCGATATGTTCACCATCCTGGGCGGGGTGGGGTGGGGTGGGGTGGGTGGGGTGGGTGTGGTGGTGTGGGTGTGGTGAGTGGGTGTGGTGACTGGGTGTGGTGAGTGGGTGTGGTGAGTGGGTGTGCGCGTAGTGGGTGCGCGCGTGGTGGTGGGTGCGCGCTTGGTGGGTGCGCTCGTGGTGGGTGCGCGCGTGGTGGGTGCGCGCGTGGTGGGCGCGCGCGTGGTGGGCGCGCGCGTGCTTGGTGGGTGCGTGCGTGGTGGGTGCGTGCGTGGTGGGTGCGTGCGTGGTGGGTGCGTGCGTGTGTGGGGCGTGCGGGGTGCATGCGTGGCGTGCGAGGCGTGCGCTGCGTGCGCGGCGTGCGGGGCGTGCGGGGTGTGTGCGGCGTGCGAGGCTTGCGGGGCGTGCGGGGCGTGCGGGGCGTGCGGGGCGTGCGCGGCGTGCGGGGCGTGCGGGGCGTGCGTGGGTGCAAGTGTGCGTGTGTGTGCGTGCGTGCGTGCGTGCGTGCGTGGGTGGGTGGGTGGGGGTGTGGGTGTGGGTGTGGGTGTGGGTGTGGGTGTGGGTGTGGGTGTGGGTGTGGGTGTGGGTGTGGGTGTGGGTGTGGGTGTGGTGTGGGTGTGGGTGTGGGTGTGGGTGTGGGTGTGGGTGTGGGTGTGGGTGTGGGTGTGGGTGTGGGTGTGGGTGTGGGTGTGGGTGTGGGTGTGGGTGTGGGTGTGGGTGTGGGTGTGGGTGTGGGTGTGGTGTGTGTGTGTGTGTGTGTGGGTGGGGGTGGGTGGGTGGGTGGGTGTGTGTGGTGTGGTGGGTGGTGGTGTGTGTGGTGGGTGGGTGGGTGGGTGGGTGGGTGGGTGGGTGGGTGGGTGGGTGGGTGGGTGGGTGGGTGGGTGGGTGGGTGGGTGTGTGGGTGGGTGGGTGGGTGGGTGTGTGGGTGTGTGGGTGCGTGGGTGTGTGGGTGTGTGGGTGTGGGTGTGTGTGTGTGGGTGGGTCGGTGGGTGGGTGGGTGGGCGGGCGAACGGGTGGGTGAGTGGGTGGGTGGGTGGGCGAATGAACTTCCCTCTCCCCAGGCCAGGGTGCGGTAGCCAGGGGCGGTAATAAGTGGGCCTCGCCTGGAACCCTGTCTGTTGGGTAGCAAACCTGGGTTGATTTGGGAATCCGCAAGGATGGTGGCGTATGGAGGGGGCAGGAACCCCAGGCCTAGACAACCCTAAGGAAGCCCTAGAAACCCCCTTTGGGATTCCAAAATCTGAAGTGGGTGCTCCGAAATACATGGGGAGAACCATGGTCGCCCAAAGAAACCTAAAAAACTCCTGTAGACACCTAAGGCTAGAAACCAAACATATACAAACCAGACACAACCATCGTAGAAACCATCGGTCGAAACCTCGTCTGTAAGCTGAGGCCTCATCCTAGGCTCGGGCTTCTTTTCAGGGCCCGATCCCAAAAGGAAGCTGTTGCCCCACGTCTTTTTGTACAGGGGCCGCCAAGAAGAATTGTGTGTCTTTCTGGGCCAAAAAAGCCCAACATGACATTGAGTTTCCTGTTGGTTTTCCTCGGTTAAAGCAGAGCAACATTTGTGCCCAGGAGACACACCACCCATATACTATGGATGTATTGGCCCCTGGACAATTCGGGCGAAGGGATTCAGAGCGCTCGTTGTGGCTTCCCTTTAAGCACACCCAAAGAGGGTACCGTTGGAAGAATTTCCACACCCCGCGACGAAAGCGGAAATCAGCCCAGATCACACTACAAGCAAGAAGTTGGCTTCAGCTTGTCTCAAGCTTTTTGAGACTAACACAGTTGGTTAAGCCAGCTGTGCCAAACCCCAAAATAGAGACCGGCCAAAACTGGGCTGTCCTCAGAAAGTTGAGCTTTCAGCGGGTTAAAGAACACCGCAACCACTAAACCCGAAACAAAAAACAAAAACTAGAACCTAAGAGCCCTTTCCAGGGGTCCCGACTATTTCAGGAAGAACACAAATCCCGCCAAAGCGCACCCGGATGTGTTGTTGGATTGAAAGGGAAGCCACACCCTTAAAGATAAAAAACGTGGAGTAGACCCAGGTCATAGGAACAAAAGTGGGAAAGAGCACAGCATCTCAGTTGCAAGGCCGCTACCTGGTGCTCAACTGGTGGGTTTCGATGAGGTTGAAGGCCGCATGTGGAAACAACTCTCGCCATCGCCAGGCGCTTTTTTCTCCAGGCACCTTACCCAAAAAACCAGCAGTGACTGAAACAAGCAGAACTACTTTGGCTATCTAGGTGGCAACTTCAGACAAAATCTTCGTGCGGGAACCGTTGACTCAGCGCGATCGAGCTCTTGCGACTGTGCCAGGGGTGTGGGACCGGACAGGTCTACTTCGGTGGGCACCTTTCGGGTTTCGGTTCTCCGGTAAGGCGCACCATGCCCGTAGCCTGAACCTCACAGCCAAGCCCATAGAACGAACAATGGGAAATGGGTCTGTCTTTTTTACGCGGTTACCCCCTTTTGGGTACCGGTTTTGCAGGGAAACCAAAAAGAACTCCCTCCCCTTCCCCCAATTTTCACCATTTTGGGGGGTCTAGAAAAAGGCCAGACCCAAATGACCTCCTTTCACACAGGCTTCAAAAGTAGTTGCTGGACTGAAGCCCTTGGAATTCCGGGGTCACCTGGACCCATGGACAAATGGCTTCGCGATTTTGGAGGATATCCTTATAACTTCACCCTTGTGTGTAGCTTGAACCTACATGAACACCGCAACTCATGTTTGACCTCCACCTGCTTTTCACACGCTAAAATTCGAGGGTGAAAAAAACAAAAAAAAAGACAGGCCGGGGTCTCCCTTGTTCAAGACAACCCCCAACCACCGCTGCGGCGCATCGCTCGCTCGCTCGCCGCTCGCTTTGCGTGGCGAGAGACGCATAGACATAGGTGTCGTTTTAGGGGAAATAGATGGCCCTAGATGATTAAACCACCAGGTAAACCAGCACTCGCCCTCTATTTTTTCTACCAAAACCACCAAAAAGGACACCTACGCCTGTAAATACCAGCAAAATGTATGGTTTCAACCATGGTTTCAAAGTGGTGCGAAATGGACTTCGCAACCATCCACAGGGAATGACCCCAGATGCGCATGGGCGGTTCCTTGTAGGCCCCGATGGCGCGCCGCAGCTCCGTACGGGAGGCGATGGCCTCGGCGAGAGAAGTCTGCGCCGGGAAGTCTGCGGGGCGTTGGAGCGGTCGGACCATTGGCTGGAAAACCACGAGGCACAAAAAAACACGTTTGAGATATGTCAAGCACATGGGAAAAGTTAGCCATGGTCTTAAAGACAGATTTGATATGGTAACCACATGGGAAAAGTTGCCCGTGGGAGTCAAAAATATACTTTTATGGGACAAGCTAGCCATGGTGAAAAGCTGGGGGCCCTAGATGGAATACAACCCCGTGTGCGGCCAGTGATTCACGCCGATTTGGTCGCCCAGTGGCTGGGCTATGGCCTGTCCGTTTTCTGATGGGCCAAACATGCGACTAAACTTGTGGGTGAAAAATTTGGAAACCCAACCACGCCAACAAGACATAACAACCTGAGGAACCGGATGCCTGGGAGACACCCAGAACGAAAAACAGCCCTTTTACCAAAAGGAGAATGGAACAGAAGGGTTTACGAAACTGGCTTGGGATCTGGCCCTTGATGTTCATCCACTCCGCCAAAGAAGAATACCCTTGTAAAGTGGGTTGTCAACCAAAGCCAAAGGCTTTGAACAAGGAGTATGCACTGCCAATCTTAGAGACGACCCTCTTTTGGTTGGCAAAGGCAGCCCAAAACAATTGCCATGTGCATGGGAGGCTCCATTTCCTTTCAAGCCAACCCCAGCTGACCAAGATAAGACAACTTCAAACTGACTGGGGTGCTCCAAAGACCAAATCGGGAATATCCCCTTAGGATGATGAAACCGTCAGAAGCCATCTGTCACCCTGTGGGCACTGGGTGGCCCCGATCGTGAATCGATGGATTTGATACAGGCAAAGTCTTTGGCACGGTTGATTGCGTTGGGTTTTGATCAGGACACCAATTGATCCTTGGGTTTTGTCTGTTTCAGGAATTCTAGATCCCTGCCGCTAGAGCAGGTTCTACCGTTGGGTTTCGCCATTGCTCTGAACTTGAAGGTTGATCATGTTGCAGAGGCTCCATCCAAAGCCAACGTGTCCGAACCCCACCCAGCAACTAGTGCAGGATGCTGGCCATCAGGGGCATTACCTTTGGGAGCCCCCGAAAAGCGGAGTGGGGGTCGTCCTACCCACTTTCTGGAATGAGATTCAAAGCCTAAAGTGTGTTGACCCTGACTATTCCCCCCCATTCAGGTCTCTTGTTCAGGGGTTCCTCTATTCCAAAGCGACCCCCCACCCGAGTGATGGCAGAGCGTTTTCCGCGGTGAGCGAAAGTCATAAAGTTAAAAGTGAAGGAATCGTACCAATGTTCAAGCCTTCTGCCCCTTTTTGTTCGGCCCCGGGCCATTTGGGTATGTATCAACATGCCCCCCTCCCCTATAGTGAGTGCTTTGCTTCGGTCTCCACCAAAACACCAACGCCAAAATTCTACAAGTCGCCTCACAAGCTCGAGCTACACCGCATATGAAAACAGGCAACCCTGTGTGAGCGGAAAGTTCCCACCAACTGTCCCTCGAACCTTTCCCTCCGAAAACCTCCAAAACTGTCCGACCCAGCGGGGGTTCAGATTGGACACGAGGCGAGGCGCCATCTTTTCCAGCCAACCCTGTGTGAGCAGACCCCTAAATGTCTTGTGAGTACAAACTTTTCCCCTAAAAACCAACCTATAAAAACCATTTCAAACAAACATACACAACCCACACAAACCAAAAAAACCACACACACACACACACAAAAAAAAAAAGGTTGGGTCCCTTTGGTTCTCCGGGCCATGACCCCGGGAAAGGACACCGAGCTCCTCGATTTCTTTTCGAGGCGCGTCGGCTTGGGCCACCAAGGTCTTCTCGTACTCCTCCTTCATCTTCTTCCTGGCCTCCAACACCTGCTGGGGGAAGTTTCAGTTCTCGCCCCGGGGAAAAAAAAAATACGGTGACTGGATGCATCGGGAGTCTGGGGTCTGGAGGGGTCGGGGGGGGGGGGGGGGGCGGACCCAAGGCTTTGTTTCCATGTTCCGAGTCTTCACGGGGAAAATGGGTTGCCAGAAATGGAGATCTCCAGGGGGTCGTTTTTCTCCCCCCCTCACCAATTCCATTTTGAAGGGGGTGGAGATGTTACTGGGTCTCGCGCGGCATCCCGACGTTTGGGGGAAACATGGGAGGGGTGTCCGTCTCTTTTTTTGCAGGCAAAGCTGCATTTTGTTGGGAGGTTCTGCAAGGGAATCCACGGGACACCAAAACCATTTTGGGGTTCAGACCAACCCAAGCCAAGCAAACCATCGGACTCAAAGGAAGCCGCAGCCACAGGGAACAGGCACCAAAACCGAGGGAAGATCCCAAGGCAAAACCAACCCCGGACACATAAAAGAACAACGAAACACGACCCAAACGCCGCCCATTTTGTTGTGGGTGGCTGTGGTTGGTTCACTTGCAGTATCTAGGGCATCCACCGGGAAGACCCAAACATGAAGGTGCAGCTTTGAGATTGGCTCTTGTGGACACGCCGAAAACTTGCCCTTTGGGCACCTAGAACAGAGCGATCGCCTGTGAAATGGCTATGGAACAAACCTGGAAAGCAGCCGAAAGGTCAAAGCTAGACAGGACCACCCAGTGGCCTCAGTACAACTATGACACGTCGCAAAACTGTCTAGTGTTCTGGCGTCCGGTACTTGCTCCAGACATATCCGGGTTCATAAAGAGGACACCTGAGTCATAAACCTGGTGCTGAAGGACAAAAAACCGGTGTAAAAGCCAAATAAAGCGAGGCCCTTCGCACCTACTTCAGGAGCTAGGACGGCTGAAATGGACCAAAAAGCCTGGGTGTGTTGGGTGGCATCATGCTATTCGAACATGCACGCCAAGATGTTTGTTTGCTTTGAGGTGGAGGAATATGCTTCTTCAGACAACTCCCCCAATCCCAGCAATGATTGGTTTCTGAAAGGAAGCAGGGGTGAAGAGAATAAGACATCAAACCACGACAAAAAGACAATACCAAACGGGTTGCCCTACTCACTCACCCCTAGAGGACCTGGTTTATATCGCATGAGCGTGTCTTGGTGCTCTTATTCCTCTGGCTTCCCCGTCACCCGTAAAAAACAGCAGTCCCCATAGCCTTCCAAAACCATGTCGATTCCGATGGCTTGCCGAACCAAAGTGTAAATGTTTCCTGATGATTTCCAAAACTGATCCTTCAACACATGAGCACCACGAGCTCTAACCTCAGTTGAGATTTTAAAACAAATGGCAACACCTAGTTGCCCAGTGACCTAGGGAGAAACAAGCAAATATCTGTTTTGGGGGTGGACATGGTTGACATTGAACTATTTGGATTAAGTGCATTCTACCCAAGTATGTAAAGAATCAGTGGAGCTTCTTACACCAACTGTCCCCTACCTTCAATCTACCAAATTTTGATCTGCTCCTCATTCTCGTGCCCCATCTTTCGTTTCAGCCTTTTGGCCAGAAGGATACTTGCCAATATACGGGGAGCTCCAAAGTGGTGATTGTCCTTTCAGTGGCTCAAACAAGTGTTCCAACATGGCACCTTGGTAAATAAAACCAACAACTAAAAGCTGCTTAAACCTAGCTCTTGAATTTTGAACCATCCCCCTTTTGAAGTTTGAATCAAACCACGGTGAAAGCCGCCGAGGAGCTGGGCTTTCGAGGATGGGAGATGGGCGAGTCCGATCTTCCAGTCTCTTGTCCAATCAAAACCAGTGGAACCAGAAACAAACCGGGAAGCTGGCCAGATACCATGGAGCAGAGTAGCAAACACCAGGCAAAACCACCCACCTCCCACCAACCCGCCCGGCCCGGCCACTTCACTACTGTTTGGCCCTGCCTTCAGCCCTGATATCCAAAGGCTTTTCCCCTCCGGCCACGCACCTCTTGAACCCAAAAAACAAAAGTGCCTCAGGGGCTAGGCATATGAAAGTTTCGTCCGCCTGTCGCAACTTCTCCTCGAGGTTATGTTGGTTGGCCTCGGCGATCCGATAAGCGTAAGCATGGACACCCCTTTGGCAAAGCGGAAACATACTCTTGGTGGTTCCGAAATCTGAAAATTTCGGCACCACGTTCAGAAGCCCTGGCTTCGGAACAAACAATTGATGTTTTCAACCATGGCTTCAAAGTGGCGCGAAATGGATACATTCCGTTCATCTAGTAGGGAAAGAATCTGGAGACTTCGAGTGGCCGGCGACCCCAGAGACGAGTCACGTTGATCCCAAGACTTTGGGGCCGCGGACCTCTAAGGTCTTGGGCTTAGCGCGAAGCATCAGCTTTTGGCATGTACTTGAAATTTGGCTGCGGGTCAAAACCCAGCAAACCCCTGGTGAACATCATAATGGGTGGTACATGGGTGTGTTCATCCGCCCCAAAATGGGAGGCATAGGTTCTGACCCGTGGCCATTTGGACCTACGTCTCATGCCCGGAGCATTTGTTGCAAGGGCGCAGCCAGTTTTCCGATTCACTTCTGAAGCTGTAGGCTCAAAGGGCCAGTCTGTACGCCCCATGGAACATCTGTGCTGGCAGAACTGCAGCACTCGCAACCTGAACCAGCACCAAGTGTCTACGCCATACACCTTCTGGGGGAATCTTAGGGATAACCCCGGTATAGATGCTGCACATAAGCAACATGTACTTGCTATTTGCGGGTGCCATTCGACAATGTTTGTGAGCACGTACACACCTTGTTCCGCAAATGGAACATCCCAAACAACTAAACCAAAGCGGCAACTTGGCTCTGAACTTCACGACGGAACCTCAAAAGTTAGTGGACATCACACACCCCAAATGTCCAAAAGGGTTCCCGATTAAAATTCATATACTCACCTGTCCCTTGCAAAAGTTGCAATTTGCAATTCACCAGTGGTTTCCAGTTTCCATTGTAACTGTAACTGTTGGCGGTTCCAAGAAAAATGGAGGAAACCCTGTCAAACCCCCAAAACAATCAACAGCACACCCGCAACACCCCCCGACCACAAAGGGCATCCGGCCAGCTGTCGGGAACACACCTGGTTCAGCTCCTCACCTGAGTAAATGGCCCCGGCCCACAATATTGCATGGGTGTCTTTGTTTGGGGGGGTCTTCTCAGATGGAAGCGTGTATATTAATGTTAAATCCCACGGGCGAAATGGCTGTTCAGGCTACCCTTTGAGATGACTTTTGCAGGCTTCATAGACACACAGCTGTGTTTGGTGTTTGGCTCCAAGTTTGTGCAGTGTCCCAAAGGGCAAATATGGGGGGAAGACGGGGGAAAGTTGTTAAACGCTTGCCTTGGTGCCGCCCTGTGCCACTTCTTAAAGAGGATATCCATGTCAGAACAATATGTTAAACATGCATGTATTTGCATATGTCTATGTGTATATGCATATGTCTATGTGTATATATATATATATATTGTAATTATATCAAATACATATCATATGCATGCTTCCCGGTCGCGGTGGAGAGAGCAGTGTTCTGAGTACCAATGAGCGCGTGCAATCGTCTAACTTGCTTTTGTTGGACAAGTGGAATACGCTTTGGAGAATGGGCGAATGGACAAACCTTACTCTTGCGATTGCTTCATAACATCCATAACATCCAGCATTTGGTGTTGTCTTTTTTTAGGGACCACCAAAAAAATCGGGCCTCTGCAAAAAGCTTGCCTTTCTGGTAATGAGAATCCAGGATTGGTGCCCCTGATCGACTGGTAGGGGAGTGTCCCATTTCAGTTGGAATGCTTCGCTTTTCGGGGAAGCACCTCCCTATTCATCCACCAGGTTGATTGATACGGGGTCGGCAGTGGGGGAGCATATCCGATGGCCTAAATGTTCGCGTGCCCCATTTGACTAGATAACATGCAAAGGCTACGTGTGGTTGAAAGAATTGACACCATTGATCAATAAAACATCGGGATAGAATTTCGGACAGAACCAGCAAGGGTACTCCTCACTAAAAGTCAAATCCATTTGAAGGGATACAAAGAAACCAAGAGGAAACAAAGTGTTTTTGAGGGCATTCCAGATTGAATTCCCATCCCCGCGAGTATGGGCTTGCCTCCGTGCGTGTGGCGCTAGCAAACAAGTTGGGCCACAATCAAAACCCGGGCAAATGAAGGGGTCGTGAGGAACAGTCTCAGCCATAGTTACTGCCGCCCTGTTGATTATTTTATTTACCATGGTTTTTGGATTCGACCAGTGATACCAAACACTTAATGGCTCAGAACAAGCGTGATCATGGGTCGTGGTTCTAAGGAATGGTCCCAGCCATTTGGGCTTTCCCGTGGTTTTGGGCTTTCCACTTGACGGGGCGATGGTTGAAAGGAACATCGACAAGAAGGATCCCTGTACATCGGGCAGCCAATCAGGCCGACAACCCCCGCCCCCCAAGGTCAGGGGTGCTGCCGAACGCCACGCGATTAAACATGTTCACGCGACCTATGCCACCCCTGCACAGGGCTCAAACCGTCCGACCGAGTGGGTTGGCAAATGCATGCAATCTGTTTTCGACCAAAGTGGGAGGCTCTCAACATGGTTGACGCCTTTTTGGTTGTCAAAAGGGAAACCAAAAGGACACTGCCGCAGAAACCAAGCATTGTAGGATAATGTGAGACCACTAAAATGGCCTCCCCGCAAAGTACTAGTATAGTCCAGCCACTGGGGGGAGGGAAACAAAGAAATCTAATTGGGCGTTGCAAAGAGATGATGTTTGACGCCTTTCACAGGAAAACCCGGTAAATACCACATACGACTAGGCAACCAAGGAAAACGAAATGATTTCAAAGATGGAGAATCACCGGTCACCAACAAACGAGGACGGTGGATGCTTGTATTGGAACAAAGAAACAATCTACTGTGGTTTGCTGTGGATTCTAGCAGGCGTTTCACACCATCACATGGAGAGACTGGCTTTTGGGAAAGAGGAAATCTATGGAACCCTGCAGGCGCCTGGACTGAAATGTGATTAGGTGTGGCTGGAATTCCAACACTTTTTCAGCTGCGATAGGCAGGGAATGAAAATTGGAATGACCCCGATTTAAACCATCCCCTGTGGTTTCCTTTAGGGAAAATCCCCAGGTTCATTCCCTCGTTCCCTGCTGAGCACCAGCAAGAGTATCTTCGCTCTCCTTCCCGAGTCACTCCTCATTCGCGAGGGCGCGTCCGTTTGAGGGCCCCGCTCAAGTTCGCCAGGAGCTTTTCCACAAGTTGACAGGAGACCCTGGCGAGTTGCTGCAAATCTACATGGAACGCCTTGGAAAGGGCTCCACGACAAAAGCCCTTTCAACGCGAAGGATTTAGGGTTCCATGCGCAACTTGTCTGCAGGAGCGCATATGCTATTTAAAGAAGCTAAAATCAGATTGAATCTAAATAAATATGTTGTTCTGCCCAAGGCAAAGAAGGCTGAAAAGCAAAGAAGCAGGGATGCAGTGACTTGTGGCAGGGAACGGCTGCAAGCACTGGACGGTTGCTCCAAAGATCCGAGGAAACCAAACGAAACCAAACTTGCGGGTTCGATAGGGGAATGAATTGGAACGACCCTCACAAACCCTCAGATAGGTGGGCTCCTTGAAGGGGAATCCGAGAACCCCCCAACACCTGGACTCGGTCGACCGAGTCCTTCCCTAGCGCACCAGGCGGAAACCCGGTGCCAATCTTCCCGGGTGCGCCAGATCATCTTGCTCGGCGCCTGATCTCGTGGCCCAGCTTCAGCAAAGACCTCCGGAACTGCAGGCCATGCGGCACGGCTGTGTGCAATCTGTGGCGGAAAAAGGGGAACGGTAAAACATGAGGAAACGTGGCCTGCGCGTTACTCAAGCATCTGTTCACACGTGTTTGGGCCAACGGACTGTCTAGATGGTTTCAAAATAGTAACTGTTGTCATATCTGCCATATTCAGTGGTCACACCCCAGGGAAACAGCCGTCGAAAGAAGCTGTTGGACCGCAAACACAAGAATAGGTCAGCTTCTTGGGCTAGGCAGTGGCAGAAATTAGAGTACCTTGAATTGGTGGTTTGGAATGGCGGGTTGGTGCTTGCCCATTGGACCTGGACGAAAACCAGTGGTTCAAATCTAAGACCACAACTCCAAACCATAATTTGAGGGTAACGTGAAGCCAACTACTCCCAGCCCAGAGAATGCAAGGAAAGCGAGAGGAAAGACGACGACAAGCAAATGAGGCATCAACCTTTTAAAGTGGAAAGTCACACTTCTTTCTCCGAATACAAAGTGTCAAATCGATACACACTCCCTGGCAAAAAAAAAATCCGGTCTCATCAAGTCCGGAAACTGAGGGACTGAGTAGCCCAGTGCTTGAAGGCAAGCCTCACCATGGATGGTTTCCCCCTACCTACTCAACGGTAAACCAGGGTGAAAGTAGATGAAGGTTAGTAAGGGACAATCCCAATCCCAACCATAAATAGCTGCGGATATCCGCCTTCTTGATTCTTGAAGCATGGTTCTGGGTCGACCATTTTAGTACCAGGTTTTGATTATGACTCAACTGGAGGAATTATGCCACGGTTTTCAAATCCCTTTGGCTCCGCGAGTCGGCGCCGTTTCGGAGCTCGGGGCGGGGCTTCCCCGAGATGGGCTCGTTCAGCCACTCGAAGCCAATGAGGAACTCCTGAAGGCCATCGCTTTGGACCCGTTGAAACATCTCCTTTGCCCAGTGATGGAACTAAGGCTCCCGGGGCTTGGTAGGCAGAACGCGGCAGTCCCCGTACCGCACCCCGAGTTGCTTTAGGGCTGTAAGAAGAAGAAAAACAAAGTGGCCCCAAGATCCATTAGGACCCTTAGGGTAGGCTGTTTAAACTGACTATCTGCTCAGAGTGACTCACTTGTGGATTGAATGGAAACCCAGCCACTAAACTAACTAAACAGCTACAATTGCTAAGGGGATAGCTGGGAGCCACCAAGTGTATTTGGGAGTTTCTCAAAATGCTGGACCCCGTTCTGGTTGGAATTCAAAGGAAAGCCAAAAGAAAAAGCCCTTCGCGATTTAGACACCCACTTCCCTGCAAATAAACGTCTGTGCCCAAGGGAAACCAAACGGGACATATGTCAATAGTGGTGACTGGAATCCAATGGGCAAGAAAAAAAAAACCTGGTCGTGCCGGAGCTCATGTTCCCCACTCGACAGCTTTTGGATCCAGGTAGGTCCCAGTTGGCCGTTGAAAAACTGCCCGGCCCAAGGCCAGCCCCGACAAACCACGGCGCATCGTCCGGCAAGGGTCTCCTCATGGTCGAAGCCAAGACGCAGCTCCCCTTGGACCCAATGGATCGGAGTTGGTTAACTTGGCTTGCACCGGCCTTTGGGCAAAAGAACGGGTTCTTGGGTTTTGCAAGAAGAGAAGCGAACAGGTCCCTCCACGGCAGACATTCGAAAAATATGGCACCGCCAAGCCTTGCGACCTTCCAAAAACAAACTCACCGAAGACCGGCTCCAGAAGATTGGCTCGTACAGGGAACCTAAGTTGGAAAACAATCCAATCATGTTGACCCCGGATCTAAGTAGAACCCGTGCTATCTGAGAGAGGGGTGGGCGGTTTCTCCCCAAAGCCCCAAAGCCCATGCTCCTGGAACTCGATGAGGCCGTTGCCATCGACCTGAAACTTTCTGAACCGAAGAGCACTGTGCCGAAAACTGGTTGGAATCCAAACTGGGTAAACAAAAAATGGCTGGAGATGGAACCAAACTGGGTGAAAATGACACCCAGGCAAATGAAACTAGGACCAAACGTTGTTCACCTCTTGGGTTTCATCTAGTTTCCATGCCGGGCTGCGCAGGGGTCCAAAAGTGTCCCGGTGGCCAGCTGAGCTGGGGACAAGTTGAAAAGGTTCCTGCTCATGCGCGTCGCTTGTGACCTTTTGCAACATCGGGCATAAACCAGCACGGCACCAAAGCAAAGTCAGAACCCAGTCCCGTCGAGGTACATCTTTGCTACACGTGGCGTTCTGGAAGTCGGGATGACCAAGAGAGCTTCTTATCCAAGTCAACCCAAAACCTGATGTTTCAATTATCCAACCCCTAAAGTGGAAAGACAGTACTTGAAGCTTTTAATATGGGGGGTTGATCAAAAGGTCCTATAAACATGGAGTGACCATTAGGGAAACCACCAATAAAGACGACTTTCACTACATGGGAAAAGTTGCCCATGGTCATTTTGGGGGCCCTGAATGGAATTTTTGATCAACCCCTACGTGGAGGGAAAGCAGGCCCTCAGGGTGCCGGAAGCCTCTCGGCCTGGACCTTCGATGAATTCGGTGAATGCTTCCGAAGCCAGGTCTTAGCCCCGTGATATCGTTTCAATGAGACGGGCCCCAGTGGGTTCACAGGGAAAATCATTTGCAAATCGTTGGTAGATGTTACGATTTTCGCAGCGAAGGAGTTCAGATGATGGATGCTCATTTCCACAAAACAGTGTTTCAACCACGGCAGGCCATCTGTGTGCGGTCAGAAATGCTTCTGTGGGCCATGCTCATAGTTTTCATCCAAGGACCTCTTTCAATGGTTGTCTAAAGTCCCCGTTCAAACTTCCGCATGCCCTCAAGCAAAACGTTGCGCGTGAATGGACCCTGGCACGCCAGTTTCCAGGACTGATGAACTCACCCCATCACGGAATCTCATGCTCAAGGTCACCTGCCCTCAGAGGTATTTTTGGAAGCTCATGGAAGCACAAAATCCATGGCGCACCAGCTGGTGTGTGGCTTGTCCCACGAATGTCTGATAGGGCTTCTGATGCAAAATGGATTTCGTCCTACACACAAATAAAGGACTCAACTGACTGTGACATCCATCTTCCCAACCTTCAAAACCAAACATCCATCTTTCAGCAAATTGTACAATATGTCCAAAACCAATATAAGAACTGGATCCTGCCATCCAGAAGAAAAAGGAACACAGTAACAGCAACAAGTAGAACAGAGTCCAAATAATTATTAAAAAGCAACAACAAAAGGCAACTGAAGCTGTGTTCGTGGTTTAGAGACCATGTTTATGATTTGTTTGACGTTTGCGATTCCAATCCCTCTGACTTTGGCCATTTCAAGTTGCCCAACCTAAACCTCCACTCGGAGGAACACCTCCCTTTGGTTGGTAGCTAATTTTCAACACGGGCAGCAAGGGCACCACTGGGTGTCTGGAACGAGGTATCACAGGAGCTTGCATAAAGGCCTGGTGCCTTTGAAGAAACGGCTCTTTGACGGCTTTGCTTCGTGGAAAGTCTGCACCACACCATTCGCGCACAGAACTGCGGCAAAGTGGGTGGACTGGGTCGACTCCCCGAAAAGGCTTTCCCAACTCCCTCCCAAACCATGTGTGCCCATGTGAAAAAAATGGGGCACCCTTGTCCGATTGTTGAGCCTAAAGGTCTAAAGGGAACCCCTCCTGAAACCAAAAAACACTGCAACAAGGAAATGCCCAACTCCTCCGGGGGTGCCTTTTTTTGGCACCCGCAAAATGGCGCAACGGTGCTTCCCTTTGGTTTCCGAAACCACCAAAAAGCAAAGTCCCACCGCACCTGCGCCACACATCCCTTTGGCCACAAAAAAAACAAAAGGAGCCCGACGTCCAGCCCGTGAAACCCCCAC